GCCGAGCCGACGAGCCGTTCGGCGCGATTGCCACAACTAGTTGGAGTGGGCCAATCTATTCTTCACGGCAGAGGAAGCCTCGTGCCAGGAAAACGTGTGGTCTTTCCTTGTCAAGGATTGAAAGAGCCCATTTAACGACACACCTTTGGGGATTGTATGCATAAATATTCACATCCAAGCAACTCGTGTTGAGGTAAATGCAATTTCTACAAATTGTGGTGTTATCTTCTAGGATTGTAAAAGAGTGTGGTTCGACATCTGCCATTGGCCGCCAAAATCAGTTACCATGGATTCATGGAAATCTGTCACCACTTGAAATTTGCATGTTAGTAAATGTTCTAAATTATTCGTTGCAGCTGTGCTTGGCTCTTGTATGTAAAGTAGGTTCGTTTTGGTCCTTCGATTTGTGGATCTTATTTATTGGGTCGAGTCGAGTCGTTTGGATTTTTTTTTTAAAGAATAATAAAATAAATTCAAAATTCAAAATGAGATACATTACAAGAAATTTGAAACCCTCCTTTCTTGAGGTTTTGGATCGATAACTTTTAATGTATGTGGAGTTAAAATTGTACACGAATAAAATATTAATTATATAAATTTTTTGAGAAGTAAAAAGAAAATTAAAGAAAATCAAAATAATTAATACTTACAAATTATGATGTCAAAAACTTGAAAATCTTTAGCTATTTGTCTTTTCCACTTTATTTTAGATATGTAGCTTTACGTCTTTCCAATCCTTTAAACATGCTCTCTATTATGCCTTCTTTCAGTCTTACACTTGCACTAAAAGAAAACGTTGGTGTTAAGGTAGATATTGAAGGTGTTAGTATATCACGTGCTAGAATAAATACAATTGGATATTGACGTTCATTCATTTCTCACATTTCTAAAACAATTATTTCTTCATCATTTAAAATACTAAGCATGCTTTGTACTACTACTAATGTAACTCACCTATACCAATATCTGTAGCATGGGGAAGGAAAGAAGAGCTATTAGAAAGTTGAGTGCTTTTACAATAACTAAAGTAGCTCTATAAATAGTTGGGGGAATGCTACATATACAACACTTGGTTACAATATTGGATGACAATCTCTCACAATCGGATGAGGCCCTCGATTATTTTAATGCCGGGCCCCACATTCCTTGTGAGAGATTGTCATCCAATGTTGTAACCAAGTGTTATACAATGAGAATTATTCAAATAGTTGCTAAGTCGGTACTAGAACATGCACCA